TTGTATTCTTGTTGTTATATTAAATTAATGTTTATTTGTTTATACTATGTTTTCTTTTTCTACTGGATTTTATTCTTTCAATGAAAATTATGGGATTATTCTAAATGGCCGAATTACAAGCAGACCCACAACAATATTTTATCAAATCCTGACACTCCAAATTTTGATATTTGACAAAAACCTAAGTAGAAGAATTCCTACGGGTTTGTGGAAGGTTAAGGTGAAAATTTGGCCTTGTAAAAAGATTCAACAAAGAAAAAGGAAAGGAAAACAAGAAAGTGCTTAAAGTGTAAATTGTTGGGGTGTTTTACAAAAGTAGTTTCTCTTTCTTTTTTTTTTAAGTTCAGATTCTTCTTATGAAGACAGTTTTTTGCTTGAAAGCAAATAAACTAGACACTGGACAGTTTGTTAATGATTCCTTTTACTACTTCATCTCGGACTGTTACTCCAACTCCGACTAGGAATGTTATTCAGAGTAACTCCTAGATATATTGCCTTTTTATATATTGCTCTGGTAGTAGTAAATAAGGAGGTATGGTGGAGTAATGGATAGCTGCTTGGGTTGAGGAATCGGAGAGCTGAGTTCAAATTCCAGTTGAATCTATGTGCTAATACCTTTGGGAAAGGTATGAATCCTCTTCTTCCCCACCAGCTATGGGTAAATAGCTAAAGAATCGTGTAGAGGGTTCTCACAATCTAATAAAAGATTAACTCATCATCTACTTGAAGACTTCTCATCATCTAATGAAAGAAACATGCAGATGATTCTTATCATCTAATCATAGAATCATGCAGATGGTCCTCAAAGAATCATGAAGATGTGGCTCATCATCTAATCAAACAATCATGCAGATCATTCTCATAATCGAATCAAAAATCATGCAGATGGTTCTCACCATCTACTCAAAGAATTATGAAGATAATCCTGATCATCTAATCAAAGAATCATGTAGATGATTCACATCATCTAATAAAAGAATCATGTAAATGGTTCTTATTTAATTAAAGAATCCTGCAGAAGATACTCATCATCTAATCAAAGAATCATATGGATGATTCTCATCATTGAATCAAAGAATCAGGCAAATGATTCACATCATCTAATAAAACAATCATGCAGATAATTTTCATCATCCTATCAAAGAATCTTGTAGATGATTCTCATCATCTAATCAAAGAATCATGATGATTGTTCTAATCTTCAAATAAAAGAATCATGAAGATAATTCCTATCATCTAATCAAAGAATCATTCAAATGATTCTTATCATCTGATCAAAGAATCATTCAGATAGTTTTGTTCATCTAATCAAGGAATCATGTAGATGTTTCCCCTCATCTAATCAAAGAATCATTCAGATGGTTCTCATCATCTAATCAAAGAATCATGAATATAATTCAAATCATCATACTAAAGAATTATCAGATGATTCTCATGATCTAATCAAAGAAGGAATCATTCAGATTTTTCTTATTATCTAATTAAAGTATCATGCAGATGATTCTCATCAAAGAATCATGAAGATAATTCCTATCATCTAATCTAAGAATCACTCAGATTGTCCCCAACATCATATCAAAGAATCAGGAAGATATGTCTGATCATCTAATCAAAGAATAATGCAGATCATTCTCATCATCTAATCAAGGAATCATGAATATAATTCAGATCATCATATCAAAGAATCATTCAGATGGTTCTCATGATCTAAACAAAGAATCATGCCAATGATTCTCATCATCTTATCAATAAATCTTGGAGATGATTCTCATCATCTAATCAAAGAATCATGTACATGGTTCTCATCATTTAATCAAAGAATCATGAAGATAATTCATCAATTAATTATCAAAGAATCTTGCATCGGTTCTTATCATCTAATCAAAGAATTATGCAAATGTTTTACAAAATCTAATAAAAACTCATTCAGATGATTCTCAACCTCTAATAAAAGAATCATGCAGATGTTTCTTATTATCTACTCAAAGAATCATGAAGATAATTATAATCCTCTAATCAAAGAATTATGTAGATTGTCATCACCTTATTAAAGAATCATGCAGATGGTTCTCATCATCTAATCAAAGAATCATGGAGATGATTCTCATCACCTAGTCAAAGAATCATACCCAATGATTTTCATCATCTAATCAAAGAAAAATGCAGATGATTCTCATGATCTAATTGAAGAGTCATGCAGATGATTCTCATCATGTTAAGCATTTACAGAAAAGACACAGGGAGGCAACATTACAGAGGTGGGAAAGTGAGACGCCAGATCAGGATCAATAATATTGCTGATTCTTCTTTGGATTTTATCAAGCTCTAGATAAATATCAGGAGCACAGAACCACATGTGGCAGCAATATTCTAGGCATAGATGAATGGTAGATATAGGTATGTAAGATAGATTCTGGAGAGAAAAATCATCTAGCATGATAATGAATCATCTTTCTTAGCAGCTGACCCTAGCAATGGATTCAATATAATCTTTCCACTGTATGTTCTCCGAGAATGTTAGCCGGAGAATGTGGAATGAGTTAGTTGGAGGTTAGTGTCAGCCATTTTGATGGAAGGCAGAAAGGGGCCTCCCAGATGATTAATAGAGAGCATTTTGCTTTTGATTATTACCTTTTTTGATTCTTGCAAAACACTTTGATGAGGAAAGCATTCTCTAATGAAAACTAGATTCAAGAGTTCATTGAAAATGTTTTTACATCAAAACCTGAGGAAATTTTATTTAGAAGAAAGTATGAAAAAGATGTCTGAAGAGTGGCAATATGACATTGCAGATAATGGGGAACATATAATCAAATAAGATATCATTGTACTTTATTTTTTGAAGTATGAAGTTGAACAAAAACAGAATTTATTTATGACTCAACATAAGAAATAAACAATTTAATTCTGTTTCAATTTCACACTCAGTAAAAATCCATTTTTTTATTCCACACCTAGAGAAGTTTGAATGGTGCCTTTAAGTGAAATCCTTCTTGTCACAAATTCCTCAAAATTTTCATCTCTGCTCAGTTTTGGATCCAAACATAAACAATGTAATTTTCTAAAGTAATGGATTTTTATTTATCAGTCTGACAGATTCTTATCATTTTAAACATCATTTTTAATGGATACTCATATTTAAGTAGACTATCATTTTTTTATTGCTATTTTCTTACATCCTTGTTGTGAAAGCTTTCTGATTAGTTGGTCAGTCTATGGCTTTGTTTTTATGATCCATTTATTTTGACAGATTTTTTTGTTTTTATCCCCATGAGTCTGCAAACATTTACCTGGAAGGTGGTCTTGTTGTATCCTGTTGGCACTCCTACATTTTTTAAAAACAACTGGAAGAAAAAGTTTAACCAAGCTTTAGCAATTGTTGTAAAACTGATCAGGATATGAAATGGCCTCACAGCATAAAAAAAAAAAACACATTTCGTGGCACATATCTGGGTAGGATTATCATCTCTCAGTTGCATCTCTGTCTTCAGGCAGAATGTGACTCAGTTGTAACTCTGTCTGGGAGGTGCCCAGTCCCTGAGAAGAGGTGCCCTTAGCTGTACCCTTCTCATTGCACTAGAAAAGGGGGATCAATAGTCATACTGATGCCAGCACAACAGATGGTTGCAGGGACTGGGTTATTTTTGACCTTGGCCCAAGTGTACACTTCAGCCATCTTTGCCAGCAGCAATGATATGCAATAAACTATTCTTTACCAGACAACACACTTCAGTGACTACAAAACTGTCTTTTTCAGGACAACTCTCTTCAGTGACTACAAAACTGTCTTTTTCAGGACAACTCTCTTCAGTGACTACAAAACTGTCTTTTTCAGGACAACATTCTTTGCCAATTACAAAATTATCCTTTTCAGGACAATGCTCTTCAGCTGCTATAAAACTCTTGTTTTCAGGACATCTCACTTCAGTGACAACAAAACTCTCTTTTTTAGGATATGATTATGTAGAGATATTTTTTGCTTAGTGCACTGTAACCTTATTTTTTATCAATGTAGTTTAATGGAAATAAACTTGGCAATATATTTTTTTTTTTACTCAAGTCTTTATTTTGTTTGTTGTTGTCTTCTGTCATTCAATATCTGTTTGCAGACTAATATACCACCCACAACAAAGGGGTGAACACAACACAAATGACACAGCCTCTTTTTGTGGGGGTCAGTAGGTAAATCCTGCTAATAGGGCTAATTTCTTATTTCAGGTTTGAAATTTTTTTAATGGAAGATAAAAAAAAAAATTTCTAAAATTCCCAGCACCCCTCTGTCATGCGCATATATAGTCCTATGAACATAAATTTATTCCAATGAAGTCCTGAAGGATGAAATGTGTCACAAGTAATCTTTTGCCACTTTATCATACAATTTCTCCAATAGAAAATATTCAAATCTAAAGGAGAAAAATATTTCATTTTAATTCTTTGTTAGTGAAAAGGCTAAGAAAGTATAGTTTATTATGTGATAAACTTTGAGTTTATATGTTTACAGCATAACGTATTCTTTCTTAGCCTTTCTTCTTTTTCCTTCCATTCAAATTTGTCATTCATTGATTTAGAATTTATGGTCAGCCCTTTTTAGCAACAAAGTCTGATTCCACATAGGACTGTCATTGTAATTATTTCTACTTATTTGTATTTGATCAAAAAAAAAAAAACAACTGAATTTGCATCCCTCATGAATAAATGTAACTCCAGTCTGGCACTGAACCTCAAATATTTTGGCTGCCGGTCTACATATTTGTCGTGCTAACCACTGAGCCATGACTGGTGCGTGTCAAACCAGAGCAATTTACCGTGGGTGTACCGACTTCCTGTTTGTCGATTAGAGTTGTCGTTCTTGCTCTAAGTTTTGTCGCCACAGTGAGGCGGTGCAGTCAAGCAGGAAGTGGTTAGGTTTCCATTTTGGAGCCCTTTAGTCAATTATCGGACGATAAGACATCTTTTTCATTTACTTTTATTTGGACGTTTCCCCCAAAACAGAAGCATCCATGACATCTGGTGGGACGTTACAGGTAAATATTCACGACATTTGACGATTGTTTTTCATGGGTTTGATGAGCTGACAGTTTTCTTTTTAGCTGGGAAAATGTTAGTGTTTAAAAAGGCAAGGGCGTGTCGTTTTTTTTTCTCTCCCTATTTAAACGATCAGTAACTAACTTGTTTGTTGTTAATGTTTTATTTTGTACCCAGTCATTTTTTTTTTTATTAGAAACAAAAAAAAATGTCTTTATTAATATGTCAGTTATTCTTTCTCACTTTTAATAACCATCATTGGGTGATATCTTGTTAATGTTTTTAATTTTTTTTCTTCCGGGAGTATTATTTACGACTAAAATCGTTAACTTAAACGGAATAAATCTGTACACGAAATGGGTGACCAATGTTTTCCTTCCAACAAAAACACGCTTAATTATACGAATACGTATTTATCTCCACTTAGTTATTATTATTAATTTAAAAAATATTTAAATACATTAAAATTTTCGAAAATATCTTATTTCAAAAATAAGGATCAGTTAATAATTTCAAGCTGTTTTTTGTAAGCAAAGCTGTGAATTGGCCTAATCAGCTAATATAATGTATATTTTTAATTTTACTCTCAGGTGATCAGCTTGTCACTTTTTTTTTTTTTTTTTTTTTTAAAGACTTTTTTCGAAAAGGAAGTTTCTCTTTTTTTTTTTTTTTTTTTTTTTTTTTTTTTTAAAAAAAAAAGAAAAAAAGTCAATATCAAAACACATTTTGTTTGTCTTTTTATTTCGTATGAACGGATCTTAATTGAAAATTAAGTACTTCCTGACCAGTGACCATCCTTGGACGGATCTTCTAAGAAGAGAAATCTTTTTCAGTGTTATGACATAACACTAAAAAGATTTAGCAAATTGTATCAGCTGTATACTTTTTGTGTTCATCTCTTTTCTTTCGCAATAGCAATACTCCAATATTTCTTCGTATTCAGTGCCTTTAAGAACTGTTATTATTATTATTATTGATCTATTAAAAAGATGTTACTTTTTAATTTATTATTAATTAAAAAGATAAAAACAAGACAGGTTAAGTTTCATTTTCATGAATTATGAATTTAGTAAAAGTACTGTCATGGATGATTTTTATTTTTCTTGTATTAATAATAATTTGACACTTAACATTAACAATTAAGTGACTTAATCATACTAGAATCTTGCTATAATTTTAGATTTTGTGTTCATTTCAGGTAATCTAGATTTATTTTACTTTGTCATTTTACACGGAGAAAATGGCCGCTTGGTCTGACTAAAAGTTGATCAGTTTTTATAAAGATGGTCTTTGCTAACTAAAGTTGAGTTTTCATCCTTAAATTATTATCATCGTGTCGATTCTTTTTGTTTTGCTAATCTTGATTTCTGTTTATTTTTGTAAGAAGTCGTGTTTTAGCAAAATGTGCTTTCATTGTTTCAAAATTTAAATACTTTGAGTGACGCATTTTTCTCTTAAAAGCACTGAAAAAAAAACAAACCCAAGTTTTTTTTTTTTTTTTTTTTAATACTTACTGTAATTCATAAAATATATTTTAAATGTCTGGTAATGTAATAATAATAATGCAATTGTTGAAAAAACAAACTTTGATTTAATCAGGGAATTTCAGATTTAATTCATAAAAAAGAAACGTTTTTGTACTTTGATTATTTTCAAAACTTATTTTTTTTAGAGGCAACTGTTTAATATTTACTAATATTTACTAAAGATTTAAAATTAAAATAAATTATATTGTCATGATTTAATAATACTTGATAAAATTTACTGCGCTTGCATCTTTTAAGCAATTTTAAGAGTTTTTTTTTAATATTCGAAATAAGTTACAGAATATTTATGGAGGACTAACGGTTACGTACTTTTCAGCTTGATAATAAAAAAAAAGAGTATTTTTTACAGTAGTGAGTAAACTTAATGATCTGATATAGTGTATAAAAATACACTCGGTAATTGATATTTTTAGTATTTATTAACAAAAATTAGTTTCAAAATTTGTTCTTCATGTGGCGTTTTAAAATTTTGCTATTTAAAAAATTTTTTTTACAGTCGTTCTTGGAATAGAAATCGATCAATCTTATAACAACAAAATAACAGGATCTAATAATCGTTGTCTTGTCGTAGTTAATTCTTTTCTTTTTTTTAAATTTTTCTTGACAGCTAACAAATATAAACTGGATCTCAGATTCTCTCGATATCTATGTCAGTGACTTGTTTTCATCTCATTCAGAAATCGTTTTGTCAGCCATACTTGTTTGGTTACTTTTGAAACTGAACATTTCTTGCTTTGCACAAAAGTCGGCAACGAAGGCTATAAAAAAATAAGATTATTAATCACAAGCTTTAACAGCTGTTAATTATTGTTATTTATTTTGACGGAAGTTGCGGAATAAATGTCTTCAAAAATCAACATTCAACAAGCATTTGTTTTTTTTTATTTACAATTCTTTCTCATCTCGATCGCACGCAAAATCTGCAGTCACATGCGTAAAAGTCGGCATCATCAACAAAAAAAAAGAAATTTTTAACATCAGGATATTTTTTCTCTTTTAAAACCTTTCTCATCCTTTTTTTTTTTTTTTTTTTAAACTTCTTGTTATTTGGTACATGAATAATCGTAAAACACAATGACTGACCATCTTTCATCAGTTTCAAATCATAGTTTACATTTGCAATGTTTTTGCTTTTTTTAAAATCAGATTTTTCTGTTTTTTTATTTTTAAGTTTGGTTAATTGTTTTTACCGTTTCTCATAATGCAACTGTCTTCTTATGGCACTGACTTTTCATATCCCCCCCTCTCTTTTTTTTTTTTAAATACTGATGAATTTTGGAAAGTAAAACCCCCAAAATAAGACTGTTCCATGTTCAGTACTCCAAATCACCTGCTTGTCTTGTCTTATAGTCACGTGAATAAACAACTGCCATTGCTGTGTTTTATTTAACTGTCAATAAGAAGAAAGTAAATATTTTTTCGATTTAAAATGTTTTTGTGTAATGCCGAGGTTAAAATCATAATTTAGTTGAAACAATGTGATAAAAAAATATGAATTAAAAAAAAATTTTTTTTTTTTTTTGGTTTTTTAAATCAAATTTGCTACTTTATGGATTGATTTCTCAATTATTTTTTAAATCTGATGATTCCAATGTTTACGTTAAAGTTTGTTGAGTAACTGAGTAATGATTTACTGAAATCATTTTTTTTTTCTTTTTACGTTTTAAATAAAAGATGATCATTTGTCATTGAAATTATCCATCATAACTGCCTTTTTCAAAATTATTATTTTTTTTTTTTTTTTTTTTTTTTTTTGCTTTTCGTTTAACGTTATTTGTAACCGCCGTAAGCAATTGTCGATCAGCAGAATGGAAATTCAAAAAAACCTTTTTTTTTTCTGGCGAAAATCTAATCTATGAGTTTTTTTTTTTTTTTTTTAAATCTGAATAAATAAAAAAAAATTATTGTACAATACACAAATTTTTTTATACACGGTACAAATATTCTGACAAAAAAAAAAATGAACTTTTTTTTTTCTTTCTCAGTTGTCGATTTCCCGCCGAATTCTTTATTAATTCCTAAAAAGAAAAAACTTCATACAATCAACTTACGCATAAAATCTACCTTTTTTTGAGTGAAAGGAAGGAAAGTTTAAATTAACAGAACTTTTTCAAAGAGTTAGGAATTAAGCCATTTTCGTTTTAGTTATATTTTTCAATATTTTCATGTACTAAAAAGATACTTCTTCAAAAGTTCAACAAAACTAAACGGCAAACAGTCCAAACAAACACCAATGTTTTCTCAGCCTTGTACATAAGCTTTCTTTATGTTAATTAAATTTAAATAAATAGTCATAAAAATGTTAGCAACCCTTGTAACTTAGACTAAGTTTTCTAAAGTTAGAGTAGTAATTTTGTTTTGAAAATCAGTATTTTTTTTTTTTTTTAACTGATTATTACGGTTTAATTTTTTGATCTGATATTTAGATTTAAAAGTAAAACTAAAAAGAGAGCTGTGTATATTCTTTAAAAAAGAAATAATGATTGATGATTTTTTGTCCATCCTCCAGAATAGGTGATTTTTTTTTTTCTGGTTCAGTTCATGCATCGCAAGACTAAGTGACTCATCGTCAGGTGTTCATCATAGGTTTTGAATTTATATTTATTTTTTAACTTTGTAATTATTTTCATTTTAATTAATGTTTCACTTCCGTTTTGGTCATTCGTCGTACGTACGGGTTTCGAAAATGTTTAAATGACTGTCGATGATGTAATAAGAAGTGCGATGTCAGAAAGAATAACCATTTTTTTTTTTTTTTTAATCATGTTTTAGTTTCTGTCTTTATTGTGTGTGTGTGTGTGTTGTTCATCGTTTCTACTTTCACAGTTCGGTTGTTTTGGTTTGAAAGATGTTTACCTTTTACTTTTATATTTTTTTTCTACCCATGAATTTATTTTTCTTTTCCACAAACTAAATTTTATTCGATTGTTAACGCTTAACTACTGATCATTAAATTTTTAAAGATACTTAAAAAAAAAAAAAAAAAAAAAAAAAATTACCGACCGCCTTCGAATAAGTAGAAATCAATTAAACAATAGAGTAACTGTAAATAAATATTTATTAGCATTGTTTTTAATTTGATTCAGTGAGTGGCTTATTTGTTTGTTGTTGTTTTTTTCCTTTTGGCAATAAATCTTAAAAAAATCAACAAAAAACAACGGCGCTCTTAGAGTTTTGCTCCCCAGCTTCAAAATACCATTTACTTCTCTCACATAAAAATTGCATATTTAATTGAACATCCGGAAAGCATCATGTTTTCAATCTAATACAAATTCAAGAATCAATGAATACGTTAACTTTTTTTTTTTTTTTTTTCGGTTTGTATCTTTGTCACAGAGCTTCTACACGATTTATGATTGCACTTTACTTTAGTGATGATTATTGTGTGTGAAAAAGTATAACACTAACACTAGTGAACGCACGCGCGCGCGCAAAAAAAAAAAACAAGAATT